ACACTTGGCTGCTCAGTCTCTTGTCTCTGTCCCTCTGAAGGTGCTGGTTTCTCCATAACAGTACATTCCTCATCTGATGCTTGACTGACAATACACATATTCTCTTCCTCACTATCACATTCATTATTCCTCATTTCTACAGACTTAGAAGATGAAACTTCTTGAGAGGCTTTGCTTGATTTGTTTTGATGAGAAAACCTTTCATCTGAACTTTGTGTATTCTTCACGGGAAATATAGAATCATTTTCAAACTCTTCCTCCGAGTCGCATGCTAACTTCTCGGAGTTCTCACTCTCCTTGTTTTCAAGAAGAGTGGCAAGCTTTGCTCTTTTCTGACTTAGGCCCAGGTGTAAGCTCCTTCTCTTGAGTATTCTTTTGTTTTGTGGGACCGAGTTCTGTTCTTCCAGGTGGCACAGATCTGGCAATGAATCGTCTGAGTACTGAGATTCCTCTCCTTGAATTTCCATCGTTCTCGTGATATATCGTGTTGTCCTGTGTGGCATTTCCCGTTCACTGCTTCCTGCTGCTGGTCCCCCGGCTTTCCTCCTGTTGTGTGCACCTGGGCGATCAAGTGAGTCCTTTACTCTTTTATCAATAACCACAGGTGGCATCCACTTCAACCGGTAACTAAGACTTGACTGATTTTGTTCCAGTCTCTCCATATCTTGACTAATCATGCCGAGAATCCGTTTGAAGCAGTCATCTAAGGTTTCCTCACTAGATTTGAAATAAATCACTTTACGATCTTCCACTGTCATTTTCCTCCTTCTCTTCAGTGGTATATCAGAATTATCTTGAGGACAAAAGACATTCACATTCCTCTTCCTGTCATTTTGGTAATTGAAACTGTGATCTTCATCGTCACTATCAGATATTTCCATATTGTGATTACCAGCACCATCAGCTGCCTTCTTGTGGTTATGCCTTGGTGACTGGCTGTCTATGGAACAATCAACCTCAGCATTCTTCCCATGGTCTGTTTTATCACTGACATCACTTGCTTGTCTTTCCTGAGGTGGATGTTTGCTCTTCCCAGCTTCTTGAGTTTTCTGAGACTCGCAACCATCAGGAGTTGAGCACAACTTTTCAACCTGATTGGAGTTGGTGCTTTGAGAGACACTTGGTGATGGCAGCACAAAGTCATCATCACTGTCCCCCAACATCACAGCATCTATTTGACGAACGGGCTCAGCTTCAATAGAATTTGACACCTCTGCATCTTGTAAAGTCTGATTATTCTGTTTGGCACTTGATGATGGTGCACTTCTGCTTGACACTGTCCTCTGTCCAATGACTGGTGAAAGCAGCTGTATGCCGTCCTCATCTTCAGAGACGTGTCTCTGCTTTCTTGAACTATCTTCACCACTGGAGAACAATGGCTGAGAGTAACTACTGACTTTTGACTCAGATTTATCACTTTCTGATGGCACTTCTTCTACACTGTACCTTCTCATGGACCTCTGAGCTTCCAAAGGCTCTGAGTTACTTTCCTCTACAATGAATGTTCTCCTTTCCACAGTCCTGACAACAGTTAGCTTCTGCTGCACTGGTCTCCTTCTCCCTGGGCTGCTCAGTGAAGCTTTAGAGTCCACTTTCACGTGAGATTCAGTTACAATGCATTCCTGATGTTTCCTCCTATTCACAAACTGGTCAGAACTCTGAGAATCACAAAATAAGTCCTCATCGGAATTCTGTGAGCTCCCCTTTGTCTTTTCCTTCCCTGTGATATTGTTAGACTTGCTCTTGCTGGTTGAAGGCCTATCAGCAGCACGTTGTTCTTGTCTGGGAGAAAGCGAGGGTACAAGGAGCTCTGGTGAACCTGGCCGGAGAGGTGACAGATCGGGAGTGACTGAACCACAATCTGAAGTATTACCTGAATTTCTAACGTCATGCTTGTCACTGCCTGACGGAATGGCCACCACGTCTGAGTCCCGTGAGTTATCTTCATTGTCTTGTATGCTGGACCCAATAGCACTTTGCTGATCCTCCTGTGGGGGAAATTATTTACTTTTTACATGGAATATATTTGGAAAACCGGCAAGATGATATTTTCATCTATAGGAATATGGGAAAATAAAGGAAAAAAAAAAAAAAAAAAAAAAAAAAAAAAAAGAAACACATACATGACTAAAATAAGCAAATACCTCAGGATTATCATTAAAGGACTTGTTTAGGGTTTCATTTAAGATCTGTTCTTCTTGCTGCCTCCAATGCTCACGTTCCTTTGCCTCCTGCTGGGCCGAGGCTCGAGATTCCTCCAACAACTGCAGCATGGTCCTCTTCTCTTCCAGGCCCATCCCCTCCTCGTACAAGCCCGCATCTAATAACACAGCAAGAATAAATAAAAGTTAGAGGCGTAATGCTACACACACACACACCCACACACACACATATACATACATACATACATACACACACACACACACATACATACACGCATGCACACACGCGCACACACACACACACACACACACACACACACACACACACACACACACACACACACACACACTTTTCTACAAAATGTACCACAAAACAGCATCAAAGTCATTCTACTTGAATTGAAAATAAGCTGGTAAAATATATGGATTCAACCTTTCCTTTAAATTTCAATGATTACCTATGTTTACCTATATGTTGATCATATACATTACAGAACTAATTACTGAATAAGTTTAGTTTTACAAATACCATATAACTAAATAATTGAAACAACAGAGTAATCTGATCCATTTTTGTGATTGTGAGAGATTATTTTCAAAGCAATCATAATGTGTCATGGCCTCTGTGATTCACACATCTAATAACTGGTAACAAATCTTTATAGTAGGTATATTTCTTAACAACTGTTAACAAATTCTTATAGTGGGTAAATTTGTCAAAAAGTTTGCATCTTAAATCCAAGTATATTTAATATCAATATGCAGTAATCATTGCCAACTCACCAGACATTAAAAAACTAGTTTGCAGAACCAATATATAAATACAATATAAATGGCTGAGAACTTTGGACCTAGTGAGAAGAAATGTTTACTCCAGACAATCATCACTTCATCTGAGTCATCTTCCTTGCATAATGTGATGGAAATATTGCATTCCTGGTGGGGGTTAGAGTGGTGGTAGCTATTATGGGACAGAGTTCATTAGCAATGACAATACATAAAGGCCACGTCAATTAATCTGGTTCATAATCAAAACCTGCTAGTTCTGTCACCCAATTTCCCTGAGATACCTCATGCCCTGCCCATTTTTAGGTGTACCATCCTCACTACTGGTATCAACCATGATCTAAAACCACTATAAATGCACACAGCAAAAGTCACAAGGAAGCTATAGATATCAAAATCAAAGGATTTTAAGATGCAACTCTATTTCTTAAAATTAACTCTACCATGTGTACTCAGGCATGATAGAGCTCAAAAAAGTTTTTGAAAATTTATCCTTGAACAAGTACAGACCCTGTTCAAACCCTGTTTTCTCAATTATGGATGTGAAAAAATATTTATCATTAACAGGAATATACATAAAAACAAATGAAAGATCTCTTCAAATTAATCAGCACTTATACACACAGATAAGCATTATCAAGACACCAAAAATGATAATAATGATAAATCAAGTACACGTCCTCCATGCAAGGAACGAGCACCTTGGAACCTAACTGCAAGAGCATTAAGACAATCATTAACCCGTCATAACACAACCAGGAAAAATAAAAGATCACGTAGAAGACCAGGTTCCAGCAAGAATTTCCTCACCCTGGGGCCCTGAGGGGGAATCGAGAGGGAAACACGGCGAGTGGGACGGCGAGCGAGGGGGAAAGAGGGGAGGGACTTGAGACCCGCCATTCCCAACTTTTCCTCTCCTATTCGGCGTCCAGGGGCTTTCCCCATTCACTTACCTTGCAGCTGCTTATTCAGGGCTTCTTCCTCTGCCCGGATTCTCTCTCTCTTGGAGTCTTCCCGGCGTGACATGGCGTGGATTTCCCTTCGAGACTCAAGTCATTTTCAAAACATTAAAGCCTCTCCTCTGTTGCCTGTCGGTCGGTTGCGCAACGATCCCGCCCGTCGCTGTGCTTCTCGCGGGAGAATGTATTCGGATTTCCGTTACTTGAGACTTTTTTTTCTTTTCTTTTTTGGATTTATCTAATCGTATTATCAATATTGGCTGGAGGAGAGTGTTATTGTAGTATATTCAAGAGATAAGGAGAGTCGGGGAACTCTTATTGACGGGCTGCGACGGTTTAATGCACTGAAAAGCATGCAATCGTGAGTATGAAGAATGCCTTCGAATGTAATCTGAAAACACGGTAATTAGGATACCATTTAGCCATCCGGGAATTAATGCGTGTTATGGCGAAAGATAACTTATCGCTTTGCAAGGAAATGGTTCGAGTTACGATGACTGCACGGAAACTAATTGCAAAGCATTTGTCAATAAAGTGGCCTATCCACACCCACACTGATTAATCAAACCTAAAAACATTACTTGAAGGTAATGATTACGACTACATAACCCAAGTTCCTTTTCGCTTCTCACAGACATTACTCGTTCTAAAATTCAATATCACCGAAGCTAATGAGACGATGATGATGAATAAACGAAGTTATCGAAGCAAGGACTATTACGGACTATTCATTGCATACATCAGGCCATAATGGTCATTCAACAAGACCAGAGTTGCCATTATCCGCGACATTTTTTTTTCTCTCTCCTGCGCATCTACGCACATAAGGATGGCGGGGAGATAACATGTTTCTGGCTGTTTTAGTTCACATAAAGGAGTCAAAAACAAATGCTTTGGTGTTCATATTTATGTATATTTGTGAGTTTATCGTTGTAGTCTTCAAGATGATATATCTTTTTTTCTTTTTCTTTTTATTAAAGGGAGTTTTACTATGCTTTTGTCTGCCTAGTATTCAATGATTAGTCATGCTTTCATTGTTTAAATATTTCTTGCTAAAACGTGATATTCAACAGGGATTCACAAGAAATCCTTG